TGCAACGCAAAAATTCAAAAATAACAAAATACTTATTTTTGAAAAATAACTTGTATCCTAAAACTTCGCCTATGAAACTATCTTTTGTGCTTTAATAAAAAAATGTTGCAAATCATATTATACTTCACATTCTCGTTTGCTATACGATAACCCTAACTCTAAACCTAACCCGAAATGCTATTTAATATTATACAGTCAAACCTCGTTATAGTGAAGGTGTTCAAAAATTCATTATATCGAGAGTTGACTGTACATTACATAGGGGGACTTTTATGTGATTGGCTGATCTTAATCAATTACTCGGATACTTGATTTATACATTTTAAAGTACTTTTACAGGAATATGACTAGAACATCACATTATTGTTAGTAGAAAATAAAATTAACATACTCTACGCAAAATAATCTTAAATAGACAATACAATTTGTTTAAATTGTTATAATGGAATTGTGATAAACAGTTCACATGAATTTCAGCACCATGTCCAAGTTGGTACAAACTGATGCAAACTTGAAGAAATTGAGAAGATTGATGAAACTGAAAATACTAATATTATTTTATCTTTTCCCAAGCAATAACTAACATTTTATATATTTGTAAAAACAGAAAAAAAATCAACATTATATTTATTTGATGAATTTCGTATAGTTATGAAAGGAGAGGATGCGAGATTAAAATTCTTTTTTGATGATATATTTTTTATCTAACCCATTCACAAAAAATAAAGATTCACAGATGCAGATAAAAAAATAATTCTTATTCATATATTATTTTTCTGTGTGATTTAGAACAAATTTGTTAATGATGCAAAAAGAGATTTAATAATATATTTGGATTCTACTAGTGCTACTAAAATCTTTATAGATACTCTTGCTGATTTGAATATAATTACAACATTTTATACAATTACATGATATAAGACTAATATATCTGATGAACATGCTAAAATAATTAATTCTATTTTTGTTAAGTATATAGATAATATAATAATATTGAATATTAATGATTATTATAATACTTATACAAAACAGATGCTGAATAAATATCTAATATAAAACTTTTATTATAACTTTGCTTATTAAATAATTATTTATTTATAGCAATTTGATATATAATTATTTCAAAGCTATAAATATTTGCAGCTTTAATATATAAATTTTTACTTAATATTTCTGAACTAAATATAAAAAAGTATTATTACTTTTATTATAATAATTACTAAAAAGAAGTTTTTATAATAAGAATGAGAGCTAAACTAAATTATTATAATCAAAAAGTTTTTTTGAATATTTTAAAGATTTTTTGTGATAACTTATATACAAATTAATTTTTTTTAATAATACTTTTTAGTATTGTATTTTATACTCTAGTTTAGTTTTTCTTTGATTAATAGTGGCTTCACTTATTAATCATTATAAATCTTTTGATTTATTTTATTCTTTTCTTTATATTTTTACTCCTTTTTCATAAGAGAAAGTATATATTTGAAAGAGTGAATAGAATAGAATTATTCTTGTAATAAAAGTCAAATTATTATAATAAAATTTTATTTATTTAACAATAATTAATATATTTATAAATATAACAGAACTTATTAAAATAATCTGTTCAAAAAAACAAAAATAAAAGCAATTAATAGTACTTATTTATATAATTTATTCAAAAAAACAAAATTAATATAACAGGACTTATTAATATAATTTATCAAAAATAATAAAATTAATTTAATAGAACTTATTAATATAAACTATAAAAATAAAAATCAAGATAACAAATTAAATTAAAGAAAAATAATAAATTATTTCAAGTGAAAAAGTATTTATTAAAGTTTAATTAAAATAATAATATATTTACAAATAATATTAATATAAAAATAAAAATCAAGATAACAAATTAAATTAAAGAAAAATAATAAATTATTTCAAGTGAAAAAGTATTTATTAAAGTTTAATTAAAATAATAATATATTTACAAATAATATTAATATTACAAGTAAAATTTTGTTATTTTTATTAGATTAAAGTATATCTTTTCAGAATATTTCTAAATAATTATCTCTTAAATTATCTAGCAAGTAAATTTATCTGTTAAAATTTTTTAAGCTTATTTATTTCTAATTTTTATAAGCTTAATTTATTTTTTCTAAACTAAAATAAAAATATAGCATATTTTTAATTAATACAATATAATATTTGTAATTTTTATTTATAACTGCTCAAATATTTAATTTATTTTGTAATTAATTCTATAATTTAATTATAAAATATTTTTAAAATTTAAGATTAATATAAAAATTTTTTAAAATTCCTTATTTTTAACTTATTAATAACTATAATTATTTTATAATTATTAAAAAAGTGAAATAACTATTATATAATATATAATTAAAGCTAATATTAAACAAACTCTTTTAAAATATTTTAATTTTGATAAAAATATATTAAATATAAATTTATGAAAATTTAGTGAACAAATTTGTTCACTAAATCGGATGGTTTAAGGAATATATATAATTTTGAATCATTATATTAATTCTACAGTTGATATTTTATATTGATGATTTCTCTTGAAATTTTCTAGAAACAATTTAGCAATAATTGTTTGATATCTTTTCAATGATCCAAATAATTGTTGTTCTCTAGATAATTATTATTGTGACATGTATTAATTATGAGGATGTTCATGACATAAAAAAAAATAGTGTTCATTTATAATGAAATATTTCTAAATTTGGTTTACAATACTAATTATACAAGAAACTAATTACATGTAGAAGGATTATCATGTAGGAATTATCAAGAGAAATTATGTAGATATTCATGTGGAAATTAAAAGTAAAAATTATGGAATTAAAGGATTTAATGTCACAACGGTAACAGTACCACGCTAATTTCTCGTTTAGATTTGTTTATATCTGGTGAACCAGTAAGCCTAAAGTCAGAAATAAGAGGATGACCATGCACTAATGTATTGCCGATTTTTTAAGAGCATGATGTTCTATTCAGAGATGAATTTTTTAGTTGTTGATCTTTAAAGCTGTTCTTTACATCAAGAAAACCAAATTTCCTTATTGAAAAAACATTATAAATTTATTAATTATTAGTTATTTTTATCAAGTACACACTGCTTCGGTTTTTAACGTACATTGAGTATTTGCGAGTTCAATTTAACTCATTAATAAAAAGGTTCGAAACTACTGATTTAGAGAAAGCACACAAAAATCAATTTTTCAATTCTTTCAGTCCATGAAATTCTGTGATGCTTTAGTAATAACTGGAGAACAACCGTGGGTAAACGAGAACACATAAAATAGTTTTATTTTACTTAAAAATTATTTAAACCCTCACAATTTTAGAAAGTTTGTTGCTACGGGTCTGTTTATCATCAAGATTTAGCCATTATATATTATATTCAATAAAAACATACACTCTTATACGACAGTATTATCTGACTCGTTGAGAGATTAAAACTGTCATTTAAGAGCTAAAAGAGGTCTATTGAGATTCGGAAATTTAACGCAAATGCAGATGTAAAAGACCAAGTATAGATGGCAAAAGATATTAGAAAACAAATCCGGCTTTATTTCACTGTTATTACGCTAATAAAGTCCAATAATTGTAGTGTTCACACCGATTATTGGCAGATACAACCCCATCCTATATTATCTCATGGAACAAGCTTTCTATATTAATTTGAGCCGAACACACGTCAAGAAAATAATTAGTACAAAGAGTACTCTCTAAATGTACCTCAGACCTCGAGACCAACTACCATCAATTACATGATTTTACCACCTCAATGAGGGTAAAGCTTCTCGTGAGCCGGCTTGCAAGCCAAAATATCTATTTGTCACCCCTGTGTTTGGCTCGCGAGCCGGCTTGCGAGGAGCTTTAAATGAATGGTGCATAACATCTAAACTCATCAAACATTTGTATTTTATAAAATAGATAAACTTCTTTTAATCCGTGAATACAATGGAATAGGCCCTTTCTGAGCATATTTACGGATTAAATTTTGTATTTACTTAATCCATTTTATAAAATAAAAACGTTTGATGACTTTAGATGTTATGCACCATAGCAACTTTCCACTTTGGTTGTGTTGTTAAACCAATCAAATTACAAGATCAATTAATGCAAAAATTTAAAACAAAACATTTATTTTTGAAAAACGGCTTCTATCTAAGTTTGCTTATGAAACTACCTTGTGTGTACTAACAAAAAATGTTCTTGCAAAATTTTGCTGTATACTCTTCTTTTGCTGATTTTTTTTGCTGAATAACCCTAATACTGACTATAACTTTAATCCTAACCGAAACTATTTCATACCTTGTGATTTGATTGGTCAATGTTAGTCGACCACTCACAGAGAATTTGGGAAGGGTAGGCATTTATAGAGTAAATATTTAACGGTCTTATAAGTTTGAGACTGAGTCAGAATGTGCATTTAGGGTGTGTGTGTAGTTATAGAGTTGTGCTTAGGGAGGTCTCTCTGTACTACTATTATTAATGATTTTTGTTACATAATCCTGTGAGGTTTACAGAATATCGATATAAAGAAATAAGGAGATTAATTATAATATTTTATTTAGACACCGGTGGTTTCTATTTTAGTTCAACAGCCATAAAAAGAGGTACTTTCATTTATAGTTAATAGTTTTATTTATTTTATATTCACAAGAGATGAGTACTACTTAAAGTGTGTGCTATATACGCAGAATAATCAAAAATACGCGTTTTGCTAGTTTTATTTAAATCATTAATTGTTTTACTATGAAGCTAATGATATAGTAACTGTTACATCGTATATCGATATCAGTTGTAAAAAACAAATAATTTTATTCTACGATTATGATACGTATTATAATATCAATATCGATATTAAAGGTGGAAACTCTAAATATGGGTAATGACATGTGGTACAAATGCATTTCGATTTCGGGCAAATTAAAAATAGAAAATGTACATTTGTAAAACGAAATCCTCCATTCCATTAATCATCATTGAAATATACCTGACCTTTCTATCAAATGAGATGCAGCGGGTGATGTTGGTTTATGGTAAGGTGGCGGTGAAAGTGCAGTCGGGTAAGGTGAGGACGTGAAATATTCATCACTTGAAATCCGTCTCAGAGCTTTAATTGATAATTTTTGACTAGGAGCGGATTGTGAGGAAGGCTCATTTGGTGGTGTCATTGGTTCGCTTATGCCAGGAAGTGTAATTATACAATTAATATACATACTAAAAATTTATAGAACGACAGTAAAATTATGTAATCTTCTCACCCATCATTGGACGTAATCGAAAGAGTACCAAAGGTAGAGATCGATGTTTGATGTTGTAATCGTGAAGCTTTTTGCTGATCAAAAGTATCAAACACTTGACGTGACAAAATTTGTTGCGACTCGGAAGTTGATGTTCGATTATTGGTCTCTAATATGGATGCAAGGCGAACAATTTCATCAATTTGCAAATCTATTTCGTCAACTAAGCACAACTTTATTGACAGTTGATAGGAATTTGAAATGTATCTTGTGGAAATTGTTGGCAATGTAGCTCGAGGAATGAACAAATTTATCGTATGCACACATTCACAATCTAAATTCGTTTTTTGGATAGATCGAAGTTCTTCTCGTGCTATAGTCAACGAAGCAACTTCTTGTTTTATGTGCCGTGCCTCATTTGGATTAGTACATCTAAAGTCCATAAATTTTACCAAAGAAACTTGAACTCGATCAACGTGAATATTGGGTCGAAGAAAACGAATCCGCATTGGAATCGATACAAATGATCCAATTTTAAAGTGTTTGAATGGTGGCAAAATAAACGCATATTCTAATCCATTACGAGATTCACCTCGTAATTGATATGGTGGATCGCGTTCAATGTCTAGTATAATTGTTTTCTTTAGTTCACATTCAACTTCCACAATATTAGCGTTACCAATAACTCCTTTTCTATTCACGGTAGCACGCAAGAAATACTTTATACTTCCAATATCAGTGGTAATTGATTCCGGAAGATTATGAGGTAATTTCACCTTGAATGGTAGATCAGAAGATTGCATTTCTTGCCCATCGTCCGCCGAGAATATCCGAAAAGCTTTCTCAATTAATACTTGTTCAGCACTGTTAGCCGATTTTGAACGTGCTTGCGGTTTAAACCAACAAGTTTTCTCGATGCCCTTTAATTGCAATATAACATTTCGTATTTGTCTTAGCTGTGGATAGTCCAAGCGTAGACTCCCAATCAGATAAGTATCATTCTCTCCGAGTTTCCCGATTTGAAATGATTTCGCGTTACTGTTTACGTATGAAAAAGTGAGGTTTTTGTGCGGTTTTGTGTATATTGATGATGGCACTGGATTGTATGAGGAAGTTCGTAGTGAAATGGAGGTAATTTTATCGAAAGTGTCTTGTGTTGGATTAATGGATCCTATTTCCATGTTATTCAGATATTCTATTCTTTTCTTTTAAAACAGATAATTATTATATTTGATTAAAAGCTTCGATTCCTATCCAAGAATTTTATCAGTAAATATGTAATGGCAATACCACACAATATTAATTACAAATAACTATTGTTATTTGAATTTGCTCGTAATAATAATGATGTACAAGGTTCTTTTTAATAAACAGTTTACCCCCGTTTGTTTTGATAAAAACAAAATTCGGATTGATTGGATATTTAAATAAGTCGCCGCATTTTCCGTATACGTACATATGCATTACATTACATAAAACCTTCGGAATGGTAAAACCGGTTGTATCATTCAACTTCCTAAATAAGGAAAGAGTCACCAATTAATAATTTTCCCCGGTTTATTCAACTTGTGAAGTAAACGTGTTTGTTGGAAAAGAAACAATTCACAGTACATCGTTGTGTAATATGGTGAATATAAGAAGCAACATCCCCGTAATTTCTCTTCGGCAATTTTGTGGTGCGAGAAACAGATACGGAAAGGTTTGAGGTTCTTTTTGTACACATCCGTCCATCTGATCTGTTTGCATGTAATACGCAACATTTATTGGTTTATTCAAGGTTCCTGGAGATGGTCGGATGTTGTGTATAAATTGTCGAATATCATTATAAATAAACAAACATGGCGTCTTTGTTATTTGTAGCAATTCTTGCATGTTATTATTATTGAATAATTAAAGTTTTTCCTATGCCAATACCCGACACGTGGATAAATTAATTTTTTGTCCAGTATTTTAAATTAATTCGTCATTATGAAGAAAGACCTCTATCATTATATATAGATGTTATGCACCATACAGTAATTAATACTGAACAATGAGATTCTAAAAAAGCTTGGTGTTAACGTTAACGTTAATTAATCAACTAATTGAGTCTTAATGTTAATGTTAACGTTAACATTGACGTTAATAATACTATAGTTCTTGCGCAGAATTCCCCTCTCAAATTCAATTCGTTTTATAAATTTAGTATTGAGCAAAAAAAAACCTTTTACCACTTCTAAACAAACTCATAATTGTAGTGAATGTTTCGGTTGTCGAGTATGGAATTACTGCAACAGGTGTTCAGACCACAGTACTCATGATTCATTGTCAAGAAAATAGGTACTGCTATATCGGGTAGTATTTATTATAGACGATTCTTGTTTGAATTAGTCGAATATCCGCCTGTGTGTACGTACGAAGTGAATTTGGAAAATAACTAATACACTTTTATTTTATTATCGAAGAGTAAGACAAGAATTTACGGAGCACTTCTTATGTTAGTCCAGAGATGCTAAATGGAAAAACCATACACTAAAGCAACAGATATTTATATGGTGCAGGAACTCTTAAATCGACAATATGTTTCATGTCAAAAATTTTTTCAACTTCTTAACTAAGAAGTAAATCCAAAATCTAACCGGTAATATTATAGAAAAGAAATTTCTTGATAATATTACCGGTTAGATTTTCATTTAAGAAGTTGAAAGAATTAACATGAAACATATTGTCGATTTAAGAGTTCCTGCACCATAGTTTTGGGAAGATTATGTACGAAATTGTAACAGGCGAACGATCATTTGGTGAGCGAAGTCATGATATAGATCTTGTGTTAGACAAACAAAATGAGAATGGTTGGGTTATTCCAGAAAACAGACAAACGGCTGAGGAACTTGAACTCAATCTACTCAATCGACTATAATTTGCATTTTCAGCACTACCGCTCTTTAGAATATCTTAAAACATATAAAAAGAAATTATGAAGAAATTAAAGAGGTGAAATTGTAAAAATCATTCTTACAAATATGAACAAATAACCAAAAATTCCACTCAAATGCAGTTTACACCAGTTGAATCTTCATAATCATACTAACATTTCATATTAATGTCGAATGTTTAGGTTTTTAAGTGTCAGTTTGTATGTTCCAAATGAAGTGAATGAAGGTAAAAATTACTATTTAATATTATTTTTCAGAAAACATTAATATATTTGTTGACATACAACATATGTGACTACGTACCTGAATTTATCGCGGTTTCCAAAAAGGTGTAGTGTGAGAGATCCAATATCCAACTATTAGCGTTAGATACATTCGTGAGATTAAAGATAAATACATGTACGTACTGTGTTCGTTTATGTTATATATTTAAGTCAGCCATTTTATATCGATATATATATTAAACAAATACATGAAAATGTAGTATTTATTTTTTTATTTAAAAATTTATCTAATAGTTTGATGTATACGTATAGTGGATACATGTATATTCGCATGGTTACACCTTTTAACAAACCGCGATAATAAATTGATGCCGAATTCTAAATGAAGTAAATTAGGGTATAGCGATACTGATATGTCTCATATTGATATCGATATACGTCTGTAAAAAAATAGGATGCATGACAAACAGTGATTAAATATTTGTAGTCATCAAACTTTTTACACATTATGTGCAAATTTTCTTATAGATAGCTTCGAGTTAGATATTTAAGTTCATTCTAATCGAAATATTTTTATTCCTTATTTAAGCATGACTTTAAATGACATTTTTCACAAGTATCGTTTATAAATTTATTTTCCTTACCTAAAGAATGACTTGACCTAAAATTTGAAATTATCGTTTCTGGTACAGTAAGCGCTCGTTACAGTAATACGCTTTAAGCTAACATCTCGTTATAATAACTTCCCCTGATCTCATTACAGTGATAAGCTTTTATAGTATTTATTCTTTCGATAGAGTAACATCTCGATATAAAACACACTCACTGAACTTGTACCTTTCGATCGATTCACGTGACTTCTTATATCACAATCATTGGCCAAATAAATTTAGAACACAAAGTTCACGGGATAAAGTTTAAATTAAAATAAATCAAGATAATCTTGGCTGAATAACCAATAGATTATTTTCCAAGTACATGTACGTACTTCATTTTCTCATTGTCATCTGTGTTTTTTATGATAAAAATAAAAAATCTTATTATATAATACAAAGACACTTTCAATTTTTAAAATGCTCAAAATAGCAAATTATTATAAAAACTAAAAAAACTAAAAATAGGTTGCAACTTGAAAAATTCACCCTTAATGAATTTTATGTGGAAACAGTCCATTCGAAATTAACTAGCACAATAACTTTCTTGAATATAATTGGTGTCTTAATTATAATAATATCTAAGATTTTGTTTGTATACTTCATTTAATTTTCGATGATATTTTGTTTAAATATTATGTGAAAACAGTAGTAATAAATATATTTTATTTTAATCTTTATTTAATTTTTTGTTTAACACTATATGTAAGATTAAAATATATAAAAGAATTAAGATCTGAAGTTGAAATAAATAATTTAAGTTTTAAGCTAACAAATAAAAAACTTAAAAGTAATTTTAAAAATTTGGTCACAATTAATTAATTATATTTATTGTTATTATATTAATAATTTGATAATTTAAACTTTAATAATGGCTTATAAAAAAATAAAAAAATTATAGATTATTTTAATGTTAAATTATAAATTTCTTCTAATTTTAAAATCAAAAAAAATATGGAATATATAAATTTCTATAAAAAATACTCAGAAAATTCTCTAGAAATATTAATTAAAAAGATTCAAAAATAGTACATGTTTTTTTTAATTTTTTCCTGAAAAATCTAGATAATTTCTTAAATTATTCAAATAATTTTTTGATTTTTTATTAATATTTTCAGAAAAAAATAATATTCTTTTTCTAAAAATATTTAAATAATTATATTTATTTAAAATTCTGGAAATTTAATAGTTAATTTAATAAATATAGCAAATTTTCAAATTTCTTTTACTATATTTCAAATTATTTTTAGAATTAATAATTTTATATTCTAATTAATTACAATATATTTTTTATTATTTACAATAAATTACTGAAAATCCAAAAAAAAGCATAATAAAATATAGTAAAATTGAAATTATTTTTTATAATGAAAATTTTATTTTTATTAGTAAATATTTTTTGTTTTTATATCAAAATAAAGCTAAATATCTGTATTTTAATATATATTTTTTAAACTTTTTAAATTTAATTTCAAAAATATTTCAAATTATAAAGTTTATATAACTAACTTTACAATCTAAAATATTTTTAAAATAAATTTAAAAAATTTATAAAAATATATATTGTTACTATTTCTGTTGGTTTATTAACTTTTAAGTATAGATCATGTATTTTTCACGTGTTTTAATTAAATGGGAGAGTTATTAAAGATTTTTATGTGTTTAAAATAATTAAGACTGGGAGAGACTAATTAATTAAAGGTAAGTAATAATGTATTCATTTTGTTGAACTGTTAGAATAAGTTCAGAAATCTTTTTTTAATTCAAATAATTTAATTGTTAAATAATTTTCTTTTTATTGTTTAACTTTTATTAAAATTATTTTCTTCTTTTAATTTAAATAATTTAATTATTAAATAATCTTCTTTTTATTGTTTAACTTTTATTAAAATTATTTTCTTCTTTTATTATAAATCTAAATAATATTAATCAACTTCACAGGATAGTGATAAGAGGTTAATTATATTATTATAGATAACGTCACTTGTTACAGACGAGAGATCTTTTAAATAATAAATAATATAAATAAGAGTAATTAATGCTTGACTGAAAATCTCCAACTCAAGACTTATAATACGACTCACTTCTAAGAAGATTTTGTCAAAGGA